TATATTAATTGATTGTTATCAATCAATTAATATACGATTATTGCCTGGAGAAGACATAAGGCAGAGGAAATCAGCGAGAGACTTCCCTGAAATCACACTAAAAGTGTGAAAAGAGAAATTTCGGACCAGTTCTTTCATAGCAGCTCTTTCTTTGAAAGTGATTCAGTGAAGAAAATGCCATGAGCATAAATATGATTAAGTTTTCACTCCATGTGTCAGGCAAGTGACAATTTTGATAATTTCCTGTATTTTCCTTACAATGTCTCAATAGCTACTCAACAATTTCTGACAAAAAATTGCTCTTTTCTGTGCAAACTTATGAGACTGAGAAGGGAAAAGAAGGGTAATAAAATTCTGTAATATCCTTCTCCTTGGCTGTTAGTTATACTCTCTTTTTGCTTCTTACTGTAATTTTCAAGTTTTAAAAAAAATCTGCTAACAATTTTTATTTAACTCTGCAAACTGAAACAGATGTCCATTCTTTATTTGTACTTTAAACTAAAATGAAGAATGCCTTTTTAGGCAGCTGCCATACCCAGCCTCTGGTGATGGAGCTTTAGACTAGCCCCCCTCACCCTCTTGTTGACTAAGGAACTCAACTGTGCCTTGTCTAATAGCCTGCTCTTCTAAGATGCTCTACATAGCATGGAAAAAAACAGATCTTCCAGAACAGCTCCTCTCTTTGAATTCATACATCATTGCTTAAAAAAGTCTAGAGCAAGATCTTGACACTATTTCAAGACAAAACTTGTGGCTGACATTAATGGTAAAGGATGAAGAAACAGTATTTTTGCTAACAACCTGACAAACACATTCCAAAAGAAACAGAAATACCTTTTCCTAGTCTGTCTTATTTAGCCCTGGATTCACTGTGGATGTGTTCTTTGAAAATATATTATGTAGATTACCTATGTGCAAAAAACCAAGTGAAAATAGGAGATAATACACTTGTGGCATGAATTATTAAGTAGATTTTTACAAACAATGCTCAGAAACATTCTTCAATAGAAATTCTTTCCAAGTCACATTCTGAATGTTTAGATATGTTTCTAAATACAAATACTTTTACGAATCTCTCAGGAAGCCATACTGTTTCAGGCACCTTCTGAATGCTGGCATACAAACAAAACAGTATGGCTGTAGTTTTCTTCTCTTTTTTCCCCACTTTCATGATGTTAAAACCAAAAAAAGTGTAAATAATCAAAATTCATGCATATTTTGATCTAGATGCATCTTGCAAATCTTTAGCATATTATACAGAATCAAAACTTATTTCCAGACGCACAAAGAAAATTGTTTATCTTGATGTGCTGAGGGATGATGATTTAGAACCATAGTCTTAACTTATGGAATATATCCACATTCATCAAAGCAAAGAAAATATACCTAATTTATGCAAAATTTGCTAAAGCAGTTTTTTTCTTATCCTTGGAGACAGTTTAGGACTGAAAAAAGATTTAAGCAACTTTCAAGGAGCAACATGGCGGCAGGTTAAAAATGCAGTGGGAAGGGGTAAGGCATTTGTTCCGAAGCACGTAACTTCTGAGGCATCCTGCAAAACTAAGTGCCCTCCTGGGCCTGTTGCATTTTGTAAAATGGGATGTGTCATTGCCATGTAGTGATGACCACTGGAATCAAGCCCTTACTCCTACTAGTTCATCTGCAGTTGAGCACCAGACACCTTCAGGGCCCTACAGATTTTCACCATGGGATCACTGTTGAAGGAGCACTGATGTTTGTTGTGTGAGCAGCACAGCGGAGGCTGCCAGGGAAGCATGGCCAAACTGGTACTGAGAAGGGGGAGTGACAACATGGCAAAAACATGGCATGAGGACAAACACAGCCTACCTCTGTGTGCTCAGTTGTGCAGAGCAGTTGCTGCTTCAATTTCCGTGGGCACCCAGCCACTGCTCACCCTCATGTAAAGAATTTATTTTGGCCTTTGTTTTCTTGTTGCTACATCCTTGATCAATACCACCTTAAACCAGGTTTCTTCTCTGGGTCTCCTTATTGCTACATACACAGAGTTTTTCTACATTCTCTAATACACAGGGAATACAGCTCTGGCCACTATTCTTAGTGTATATACATAATCTCACTATTCCAGGAAAGAGATTAGCACTAACACCTGACATCTATTGCTACAGATTTACTACAAATCATCCTAATAGTTCTGTCTTGTAGCAATGTCACAACTCAATTTATATCTAGTCTAAGTGCTATTTGGACATTGTGATGCTGTGACAGAGTGCATGACTTGCTTCTGTTACTCATCCAACGACGTCACCACACAATTCAGCCCACACAATCTCTTCCCTGCAGGACTTTCTGTCTTTTTACCCTTCTCACTGACAACAGGTTATAGGTGTTTTTCAGAGCTTGTCAGTGCTGCTCAGAGGCAGCAGGCACAAGGAAGACACTACAGTCCCCATCGTGAATGCTCTTTTAAGATACAGCTTACCAAGACCTAAGCAGTAACTGGAAAAGATGCTCCTTCCACATTTTTGTTTAGAGTCGCTGTGACGCAGTTGTGTGTCTCACTTGGGATCCCTTAGGAGCCAGATTAAATAGAAGTGGACACACATCAGACACACAAAATAAAAGCATGGAGATGGCCATACAATATTAAAAAAAAAAAAAAAAAAAGAAAGAAAAGAGGGAAATTAACTCAGACAACATTATGCACCCTGAAAATTGGTTTCTTCTCTTGCTTGTCTTTTTTTGCCTCTGGTTTCTCAAGAGTATGATTGAGAAACAAGGAAGTGAATGTCAGAATTTGCAAGCACAGAATTATGCCTCTGTGGATTGAAACAAAATATGTATTACCCATGGGGAAGAGGAAGAAGAGAGAAAGTATATATGCTCTGGCAGTAACAAAACACCATTTTGAAAACATTACCCAAGACAGCCATGTACTTACTGTTTTGGCCCAGATAAATTACCTACTGTGTGCTTCCCCAGACACTTATTGCACTGGCTTCTAGCCATATGCCTTTGATAAAGTGCACTTGGAATGAAACAATTTTGCTTCCAATATAATCTCTTCTACTCCAGAAGCTGTCCTACACAACTTGCTACAGCAAGTTAGCATGGATTTTCTGACATAACCACAGAAGGTGCAGTCAAACTACAATCATAACATCATAGAAGAAAGTTTGACAACAGGTATTACAAAATTGGCAGGAGATGCAAGGTAAAGGCATATTTTAAAAAAACTTTTCACACCACCACTGTGACTGCAACTCTCATGGGACTGCACCTGCAGTGGTGAATTCCGCTCTGGGGACTCCAAAATAAGACCTGGACCTCTTAAAGCAAATCCAGAAGAGGCCCACAGTAAAGATCTGAGGGTCTGAGCACCTCTTCTCCTCATGAGGACAGGCTGAGAGAGTTGGGTTTGTACAGCCTGGAGGAGATTCTGTGGAGATCTTATAGCACCTTTAAGTCAGTACCTAATGGAACCTAAAGGAAGGCTGGAAAGGAACTTTTTAAAAGGGCTTGTAGCGACAGAACAAGTGGTGATGGCTTTAAGCTAAAGAAGGTATGTTTAGATTAGCTATTTGAAGAAATTCCTTACTGTGAGGGTAGTGAGCTGCTCTAACAGCAGCTCAGTGCTCAGTAGCTGTGGATGCCCAACCCCTGGAAGTGTTCAAGGCCAGACTGATTGGGTCTTTGAGCAACCTGGTTGGGGGGGATGGTGGAACTAGATGATCTGTAAGGTCTCTTCCAACCATCTATTATCAGAGCTGTTCACCCAAAGGGATTAACTAAATTACTGATGGATTGTTCAGAGCACAGGATTATTCATGTACAGCTAATCACTTCAAGTTTAAGTTACCTGAGTATTACTCTGCTATGGACTGACTGAGATGAAAGATGTGTCGCCTAGTAACTATCATCTTCTCCAGAAAGTCTGTGGCTACCAACACTCTGAATTTTTTTCACCAAAAATTAATTTCCTCTGTCCAGCTCTAAAATTAACTATCTTACTGCTCGTGTGATCAGACCACCAAAGCAGATGTCAGTTACTGTTCTGCTGATAAACAAACAGCTTTTATCTGCAGGATTTCCTTCTAATAAGTACTTTTCCCAGAACATGAAGGCCATATAATTTTAAGACAGTTCTTACCTAAAACCTCCTCTGGAATTGTTAATATTTCTCCAAAGAGTGACTGTTCTTGAAAAACTTATCAGTTTCATACACCATTTCTTTTTTCTGTAAGGCAACAAGCAAATTCACAGGGTTGGAGTTGTTGCAGCAAGTGTTGTGCTGTAGAGCTGTGCAATTTGCAGCAGGGCTAAGGCTTACCAGTCCAATTTTAACACAGAGGTTAAGTACAGGTAATTGTGTAACATAATATCTGCTGCTTGGGCAACTTATTGCCATCTCTATGCCTGGTGCAACTGGAACATTTGGAAAAACAGTTTTATAGTTAAGCTTAAAAAGAATAAAGCTTTTCATTTTTGAAATTGTGACAATACTTGCAAATTTTTATTTAAGCAAATTTTGGAAATTGGACCTGTGGCACAAACTTGAATCTTTAACTAATGTAAGGTTTATATTTTTATTCAAGTGGCTTTTAATTTTAGTTTGTACATTTCATCTTTTGGATCAGTAATGACTTGCATTTTGGGTAATTTTAATTTATGAAATTTCTAGTTTTTTCATTACATAGTGACAGAAGGGAGCAAGGTAAATTCTTTCACGACTATATTCCTTCTAACTTAAAATGTAAAAAATATAGTCAAGTTATTTTATTTCACATCCTATTGTTTTATTTAGGATTTCCTTAGCTGCAAGTCAAATTTTGGAAAGCTAATAAATTACAGGAATGGCTTCACCCTTTCCCTTCCTCCCTCTCTGGCAACTCCCAAAGTGGGTTTTTTCATGTATTAATTCAAGAGAGCCATTTATATTATGAAGGGCTTGGGAAAGACTTCCAGGCTTTTTTTTTTTCCCAATTGTTGTCTGTTTTACTTCAATGGGAAATAAAACTTTATTTAGGAAAAAAACCAAACTTTATTTTTTCAAATCATGTCTGACAGATTGCAACACAAACAAAGTACAGTAAAAAAATTACTCACACGGCCTGCAAAAGTTAACAAGACAGTAATCAAATAATGAACCTCTGTCCAAGTCCTTTTTGTGTCCAATATACATTCTTCATACTACAGAGTAATGCCCACTTTACAGTGGCATCAGATAAAGTTTGTGAAACCATTTTAACACAGTCACTGGTATCTGCTCTCTCTAAATAGCAGCTTTTGACACAGTTTTATATTCCTCCAGACACATGAAGGATAATCTGAAGTCAAATATAAATTTCTTGCCTTGTGTCAGGAGTTCAGCATCAACTTCCACAGGTTTACCTGGAATCTACCTGAGGCCTTTCATGGGTAAATATATACAACCTGGTAGAAACTAGTTTTGCATCTGTCAATCCATCCCATACAGCATTATTGGCACTTTAAAAAGGGAGCAGACGCACAAAATATGATGGTGAAAGTGAATAAATTTTTCTTTCTCAAAACCTACAGCAATTTTTGCTACTTTTAACAACTAATTGTGAGCCACGTGTATAGAGCATGCCAAACAAACCTAAAAAGAATATATGTGATAAGTCAAAAGTTGCCATGGAGGTTTCTCCTCCCATGCCCATCCTTGCAAAAGAGGCTAAAATAAGACAGCATAGGCTGTGATCTCCTCTACGGTATTCTAACATTAGGAAAAATAGTAGAGAGATATTTTATTCTTTCTTTGAAGCTGCAACCCTGAGACGAGCTCAGTTGGTTAAAGCACAGTGCTAATAATGCCAAGGTCATGGGTTTCATCCCTGTATAGGCCATTCACTTAAGAGTTGGGCTCAGTGATCCTTCTGGGTCCTTTCCAACTCAGACTATTTTGTGATCTGTGAATTTAGTAAATGTAAACAGGAGTGGAGCATTGGACAAATTCTACACACACACACAATGTATAAACAAAGAATTGCTGTCATGCCTTTAATTTTCATGCCAATATTATCTCTGCAATTACCTCAATAATCTAATATATCCGTTGTGATCATTTGTTTCGCAATGCAAAGCTTGTTTTTGTTTTCCCTCTCTATCTAAACCTTTCAGAAAAAGCTACAAGTGAAAGCAGTAAATACATAAAACCAGAGCACTCACCTCATTAAGGCCTGAGAGCACAGCGACATGAGGCACTTGTGTCCCATTCAGTGGAATACAGTGCAGAGAGTCCCAAGTCAGCTGAGACTCCAGAGAGCCACTCCAAACAGCACAGAATACTGGCATTGCATTTATAAATAGCCCAGATCTAAATAGTCTGAAGTCAGCTTTATTGTTTACGTGCAGTGAGCTTGGGTAACCCCGCACTGGAATCACCACAAGTCTCCCTACGCCAGAGTAAGTACAGAGACAGGTAGGGTTTATTAGATCTTTGAAGCATTTTGTGTCTTTCACAGAGTCTGTAGATGGTTTTTATCTTATAGTTTTACTGAGGTTGCAAAATCCAATGCCAACACAGGTCATCAAGACTTTCTCCCCGCCCATGTGCTCTTCCTCAGGGGTCTTTGTTTCCATTTTAAACATGATCTGGAAGAAGCTTCTGAGGTGTCGCAGAAACTCAATTCTGAATGAGAGAAAATAATACTGTTTAAGAAACAAAACAGAAAGAAAGCATTATGTACTAACACAGATTCCAGCAATGAGCATGTGAATGAAATAAGAAAATATTACAGAGGAACAGGGCTACAAGCTCCAAACATTGTTCTCACTTGTGTTGTAGAAGTTGCTAGTGACCCTTCCTGAAACCTCTGCATTCTCTGCAGAAGCAGAGAGAGGAATGGCTGGTAACACAGCAAGACAAAATGGTGAGGGGAGAAGAAAGAAAGGAGAGAAATGTAGCTAGGCAAGTTATTTGCTCCTGATGCTGAGTCTTCATCAGAGCTATATGAGCCCCATACAAACCCGTGATTCTCTTTTCCCTTGCCCAATGTTTAAAGCAGAAATAAAACATAAACAGGCTTGGGTGCATACTTTGAGAGATCCCAAAGCATGTGTTTGATTTCTGACTGATTACTGACTTCTCCACTTCTCAGTTAAATGCTTCATTAGGATTATATTCAGACTTAGAATTCTTTCCTGTTTTCTCATTTTCAGGAAAAAAAAAATTCCTTTCATCATTTCACACAGAAAGGCAACAAGAAACTGAACAATCACACTGATCCTAAACAAACACTGACTGGAGGGTGAGTAACACGAAAAACTGTAAAAAAAGAAAAAACCAAAAACATCCAAGAAAACATTTTTGCTGGCTTCTCCAAAAGAGGGAACATGCAATTGCACCAAAAAACTACAAAAACAAATTTGTAATTGCTTCTGACAGAAGTTTGGACTCTTCCAGTCATGGCCACAAGCAAGTCTGCAGTCTTGAACAAAGATGTAATCTCCTCCAGCAACTGGTATGCACCTTTCTTAGTTCAAAGAAATGGAATGTGGATATCCAGTTCACACATTACCTTGTCTGCTCTACACGCTGAAAGCATAACTGCAAGCTAATCACACATACATCATTACAACAAATCAAAAGTATCCACAAAATGGGAAGAAGGAGAACAAAAGCCTAAGCCTATCCCACTGTGGCATCATGAGGCCTCTGAAAGCCTCTTGGCAGCTCCTATCTACAGAAATTGTAAAGGAGTACAAGGAAAATTGCAGGAGCAAAATTGCTTTATACACTTCAGCTGGGCATGCTGCTGTTCCTGCACTCAGATATATGCATGGGAGAGGAGGAAAATGGCAGGAGCTGGAAAAAAGGAGGCTGTGCCATCTATACTGGTGTGTGCTTGGGATGATCTCAAGTATCTCTGGGGCAATCTGCTAAATATCTCTGCAGGGTGAATGTGGGCACATTCCTCCCAATGTATCCTTTCTCCTGCACCTTCCTGGACTGATAACTTGCTTCAGCACACACACCAGCTTTCTCATCTCTCAAATGAACTGGCAGTTGAAAGCAAGAACTGAAAAGCACCTTTTCTTCCATGCCTCCCCAGCTGCAAGGTTTCTCGTTGCAGCTATAGTAGGCAAATGGGCATATGCTGGCACAAATGCTCAGTAAAACTGACAGACCACAAGCTCTGTATCAGCCTTCTCCTTAGCTGGGTCCTTTCACAGGCTCTGGCAGTGTGACAAGAAAGCAGCCAAGCCCAAAACAGGAGAAGTGAACTGCAAGCAGGCGCTGCAGTATAAACTGTAAAAATGACAGAGGCCATGTGGAGCCAGAGACTCAGGGAAAAATCCTAAAAGGTGATCAGGAAACTCTGCAATATGTTGGTGGGATCAGTTCAGCCCATACCTCTCTGCATGTAGCTGGGCCACCCTGCATCTCTGCATCTTTTCCCTTTTGAATAAAAGCAGAGTGAGAAAAATATCAGCCCCTACACACATGGGAAAGCCTCTCTGGAGTGCGAGCAAGGGGAAGGCTGCCTGGGGACACCAGGGGAGAATGCAGAAACACCAAAAGGCCAGCTTTGTCTTGTAACATTGGAAGCACAGGTGGTACAAACCCTGCAAATAGAAGAGAAAGAGGCAGGAAAGTAGGGGTTTGTGACAGAAAGCAGGTTTGTATTAGCTCTGAGGTTGGTCTGGTCGCAGGTGGGCACCTCAAATAATAGCACAGGGCACACCAACCACACAGGCACAGGCTGCAAGACTGAGGGAGAGGGTGAAAGGTACAAAGAAGGTACATTTGGCTGAAAATTTACACTCTGTGTTCAGGCAAGAACAAGGCAGCAGCTGAACCGAGCTGCTTCTTAGGTGCAGGGACAAATACACGAGCCACACTGGAGGCCTTGTAGCCAAAAACAAAAGGCCTGTTTATCTTTTCCCCAAAGCCTGCTAAGAATTACCAACAAGTACACAAGAACTTCACATATTGAGCAAAGCAACCAACTAACAGAGCAGTGTAAGAGAAGACCTGTGCCCAGCAGTGCATTCTTGGTTGAGCTGCACCAGGGCCTGCACAAGGCGGCAGCGGCAGCCCCAGCACTGCTCTCCTGAGTGCTGCCACACACCTTTCCAGGAGGAGACAGACTGAGGAGCCACGAGTGGGCATCCCCAGTCAGGGGAGAAACTGGAAGTGTCAGCTTGGCTGGGCAGAGGCACCCTAACCCTTTTGCCCTAAACCTTTGCAAAGCCATGGATTGGGGCACTCGGGCTTTTGAGGCACAACAGGCTTTCCTGTTGCTTTCTTTCATGTACCCCTGGCTCATGCTGATCCACCTGTACGCAGACAGTTCCGTCCTGCCAGACTGACCTCTGTGAGTTAGTGGGATGGCCAGCACCCTGCATTTGATTTTAAGCTCAGCTTGACAGAAAGGCACTTGCTTCTGTGAAATACAGACACTAAGAAAGGGGTAATGCAGAGCAGCTGCTGGCCATGCAGACTGTTAGCTCCACTGCCACTCACAACAGCCCTACTCATGTTGTTTCATTTCCATTCCCCATAGTTAGCTGAGGCAACGGATGTCTCCTGTGAAAATAAGAAGTTTCCTCATTCAAATGGACGTGTTCCAAAGCATTTTGTCCCCATGTGATGCTCTCAGCAGCCAGCTGAACTGCCACATTCATGCTATATTATGACAGGGAAGCCAATAATACAGCTTTTAAGTAACTTCAGATTCTGTAGGGTGAAAGTGTTACATACAGAGATGTCACAGCTCTGAAAGAAAAGAAGGGACAAAGACATGGAACATGACAATACTGCAGTTTACTTCATAAGCTTGTGTATCCAATGAGTTGCTTGGGAGACAAATTTACCAGTCCTTTAAAAACAGCCCTAGCTGAGGGCACAAAAAGCCCTAGTTGTTGAATACATAAAAAACTGCATTCTATCTGAACAGATCCCATAGGATTGATGAGTCACAGATTCTCACAGAATCACAGATTTTACAATATGCTGCTTCAGTATGTGTACTCCTGACCTTTATCCCTGCTGCATACACCTAGCTTGGAAGAAGTGACAATCTACCAACTTGAATTCATCCTGCTTACAAAATAAACGAGTGTATTTGCTTGATTTTCACAGAAGAAAAAAAGGGTAAAAAATTAAAAAATACAATGACAAGTGATTGGATTGTCTCATATGCTTAACTGTGCACTTCAAACACTAATATCTGCTCTTCTGAAACCTTCCACATGAATACTTACTTTATAGGGGATTACTCCCTCTTTGTGCAATGGGACACTCCCCTGTCTTCCCCTCAAAATCTGCTGAATGTTGTTTCCAAGGTATCAGGAGCTGAGAAGAGCAGTTAGGTAATTTTTAGCTCTCATGTGATGGCACCACCATTCTTCAGTTATCACAGTACTGTACCTTTCACGTATACAGCACCGGTACCATGATAACCGAAAAAGGACAGTTCATACTCTTACTATTTGATGCCATTTCCAGATTAAAAAAACCTCCCTTCATCTGACTAAAGAATAACTGCTCAGTCTCTAGAAATAACTGTGATCTAATAAATCCCTGGCAAGTCTGAAAAATTAAATTTTTGATAAATTGTTTTGATAAATTTGTTTTGATGAATTTTTTTTGATAATTTGTTTCCCTAACTAGTTTCTACTAGAATTCAATTAGGCCACTGCTGTGAAAGATAATAAAAGGTGTTTTTATAAATACATTAAAAACTAAAGGAAGGCCATGGAAAATCTCCATGCTTGACTGGATGTGGAAGGGAACATTGTCATCAAGGATGAGGAAAAGGCTGAGGTCCTCAATGTCTTCTTTGCCTCAGTCTTTAACAGTAAGGCTCATCTTCAGGGCAACCAGCCCCCTAGCTGGGGTACAGGGAGCCCAATAGATCTTCTGCAATACACAATGAAGTACTGAGACATTTAGAATTTTATGGGATTGGATGGAATTCATTCAAGGGTACTGAGGGTGCCAGCAGAAGCACTCACCAAGAAAATCTCCATCATGTAGCATCAGTCCTGGCTAACTGAGCAGGTCCCAGTGTCCGATTTTCGGCTGTTTGGATGGCCTGGAAAGGCCCGGGGTGGCCTTGGGGCAGCCCACGTTTCAAAGGACGAGAAGAGGCTTCAGTTCTTTTCTCGGTCTCGGTGTTTATTAATTGTTTATCTAAAAGATTTTCTTTCGGCCCGACAGAGGTCTGCTCAGCAGCCAGCCATCAGCACACTCCCTTCCCTCCGGGGCAGTCACCTATCTTTATACTCAAAGTTACGTATACAATATTTATCATTTTTCCCCAATACCTTTTACCCTTATTAACCAGTGCACTCTTAGTAATAACCAATCCCAAAGTGCCACCATCACCACAGAAGATGGAGGAGAAGAAGAAGAAGAAGAAGGACAGGACACGCCCCAATTCCTCCATCTTACTTCTCTAAACCCCCCTGTACAGAAATCCTAAACCCTGTGTTTCACTCTCTAATTAACTTATCCCTTCACCATTCACTCCGGTGAAATCCTCCTATCCTCATACAAGTGTCGTGTCCTGTGTAGGATCAAAGTCCAGCCACCAGACACTTCTGGCAACATTCCAGGACTCCCGAGCCCCCCAAGGGTGGTCTCGGTGACTCAGCACCTCAGTCCTGAGGTGCTGAGATCCCACATCCCAGAGGACTGGAAGTTGGCCAGTGTGATGCTCATACCAGCAGGGTCAGAAGGAGGAACTATAGTAATAGCCCATGGCTTGGATGGGTACCCTCTTCAGTAGGTAAAAAACCATTTGTATGGCTGGGCCCAGAGTATTGGTGCATGGAGTTACATCCGGCTGGTGGCCAGTGACCAGTGGTGTTCCCCAGGGCTCAGTACTGGGGCCAGTTCTGTTCAATAGCGTCATCAGTGATGGGGATGAGGGGACTGAGTGTCCCCTCAATCAGTTTGCAGATGACACCAAGCTGGGTGGGAGTGCTGACCTGCAGGAGGGCAGGAAGGCTCTGCAGAGGGATCTGGACAGGCTGGATCATGGCTGAGCCCAGTGGTGTGAGGTTCAACAAGGCCCAGTGCTGGGTCCTGCCCTTGGGTCACAGCAAGGCCAGGCAGTGCCACAGGCTGGGGCAGAGTGGCTGCAAAGCTGCCCCAGGAAAAGGCCCTGGGGGTGCTGGTGGCAGCAGCTGAGCATGAGCCAGCAGTGCCCAGGTGGCCAAGAAGGCCAATGGCAGCCTGGCCTGTGCCAGCAATGGTGTGGCAGCAGGAGCAGGGCAGGGATTGCTCCCCTGTGCTGGGCACTGGTGAGGCCACACCTCAAATCCTGTGCTCAATTTTAAGCCCCTCACTCCAAGAAGGACATTGAGGTGCTGGAGCATGTGTAGAGAAGGACAACAGAGCTGCTGAAGGAATACAAGTCCTGTGAGGAACACCTGAGGGAGCTTGAGGTGTTTAGCCTGGAGAAAAAAGGAGGCTCGTGGAGACCTTATTGCTCTCTACAACTGCCTGAAAGGACTTTGTAGACAGGTGAGGGTTTGGTCTTTTCTCCCAGGCAACAAGTGACAGGATTAGAGGAAATGGCCTCAAGCTGCACCAGTGTAGGTTCAGGTTACACATCAGGAAGAGTTTTTTCACTGCAAGGGCTGTTAAGAATTGAAATGGGCCGCCCATAGTGGTGGTGGAGTCACAATCTGTGGAAGTGTTAAAGAAACAACCAGACCTAGCACTATGGTCTAGTTGAGAAATAGTGTTCAATCAAAAGTTGGACTTGATCCTAGACATCTTTTCCAACCTTGATGATTCTGTGATTCTGTAACCTGTGTTTACAACTAGCAATATAAGAAATTAATGTCTTTTCTATCCTCTGAACAACTACCAGCTACAGGCAAAGCTTTAGTAAAAACTGAGACTGAAGGACCAGATAGGATTCTGCTGCCCAGTAAAACCTTAAAAAAGCACATAGCTCCATGAACCAAAGTCTTAAGCTGTTTCATAGGAAGAATCACTAGCTAGCCATTTGAAATACAACACTTAATGACACAGCTACAGAGAGATCACCAGGGAAAACATAGTAGTGTACACTAGGCAATAAAAAGCCAACTGATGTACAAATACATTCCACGTCAAGAACCATCAATAAACCCTGTCTCTGCAATTCTCAGAAACAGGAATAATATAGAACAGTAAGGGACTCATCTAACATGTAGCAACAAACCATAGGCAACTTACACCACTTGTCTCATTTGAAGTCAGGTACAAGTTGTTCTATTTGTTACCATAGGCAAAATCTCCCATATACAAAAATAGCTGTGCAATAAAACTAGTGAATTAAAACAAGACTGTGTAATTGAACTGAACAAAACAACTTACGTGTATGGAGACAGAGGTCCCAACAGGACTTTGGAAACATCCCGCTGTCCAAGGGTCATAAGGAGCAGAGCAAGGCTCTGATTTGTTGAATCTACACAGCCTCCCTGCAAACCAAAATGTTTTAATAATTAATCTCTGTACAAACCAGAAACTGAAATGGGAGGAGAGTAACAAAGGCAAAAGATACACTTAAAAGGTGAAACACCACTCCCAATTTTTAAGGGCCAAGATAAAAATCTAGATTTTTTTAACAATGAAAAATCAATTTCACATGGCTAGGAAAAGAATAGAACTAAAACCTATAAGAACATCATATTAAATATCCCTCCTAATCTGTTTTAACGCCTCAGAATGTAAACACTGAAGAATTTTTTTCCAGTAAATTGAAAAGAGGTATTAGTTCTAGTTGACATGCATCTGAAGATCCATGAATTCCAGCACTATATTATAACAGTTACATTTGGATAAATAGTTCAGTGTTAGCAGGTGGGAAACGGCAAGTTAGAATTTATTTAGCACTTATCCACAAAAACCCTTGCTGCCAACTTTGATGAGTTTACACTTGTAAAACATTTCCCCTCCATCATTAAAATAGAAGATTTTTTTATTGCTAGTGAAAGAGCCATACATAAAATTAAGTGGAACCACATACACTCTTGTACATATTTGACTGTAGTAAGTCATATGCAAGGTAAATTGTTCTGTATGTTGAAAATATTTACTATGATGCATACATTAATTAGAACTGGAAGGCTAGAATTAGAAATAAGAATTGTTTACAAAGCTGGAATATAAATTTAAAGGGATACTTTCAGTCAAAGCTGCTGTAGAGATCAGACACGTGAAATCTATGAATAGTTTTCTGCTGCATCAGGCCTAATGCTAAATCCTCAGAATAAGCTCTCTTGAAACCAAAACCTTACCTTTTTAAAACCAAATTCTCTAACAAGGTAAACTGACAGCTACCTTTGTTGACAAGGAAGGTAACCTATCATAATTTCAAGACATAACACTATCCAAGAAGGCAAAGGAGAAAATATATTTTGGATTACATAGATTAAGAGAATCAGCCAATGTGACACCCTCAGCACATTTACTCAGTGAGAGGCAGAAAGGCACAGCCTTTCCAAGGGGGGATACTGAAGACTTAATTTTCAAGATGGCCTTGCTTCTGTGTGACAACCTGCAGCTCCATTCTTCTGAGAAAAACTCTCTGTGTTACATGCAAGGAACTACAGCACAGCAAAATAAGTAGCTCTATTGCATTCACTACCATGACCCAACTCCTAAAACATGCTCTTGTTTCAGAACTACAGTACTTGCCCTCTTAACTGTGTGAACTTGCCACACCAAAATGAAGTTCACATAACCTAATGCTGCCTATAGGACTGATAAAAATTTTGCTTTATCTTGAGTGAACAGGGTACTTGCAGAATTTGCTGGTGCAATCTAAAGCCACAGATCTCACCAGCTGTATTTGCCAATGAAACATATACCAAAGCAGCTAAGAGTTTGGTAAGGATATTCCTGACACTGGACTTTCTGCAGTTGTAGTTTGGTCAGTAATAAAAATGCTCCTTCTTACTTGGATGAAAACTTCACATTTTCTGAGCTTGTTTTATTTCTCTAGAGCTCAAAACATTATAAAGTATCTACTTTTATATCACAATTTATACAAAAGCTTCAATCAGCACGAAGACTATCACGTCCTAAGAAATAAAAATACAATGCATCCATCCTGTCCTAACTGCTTACATAAGCTCCCTACATGGCTGCAGTGAGTCAGTCATCCTCAGCACTTTTGTGGTATGCACATTTGTGGTGCTGTCCCCTTGAGCCCTTCTACCATCTCCTAATTCTCATTAGACACTAACCTTGTTTAACGGCTCCTGGACAGTTAAGCTCGTCTGCTCCTAGGAAGTTCTGCCTAACAAACTGCTGTTTTCTAATGGACAGTCTTGAAACATTATTTTTGCCTAAATCATAGCACAGGTTACTGTGCTATAATAATAATAATAATTATGCTATAATAATAATATTGTTACTGCACCTTTTGATGAAAATTCCAGTAACAACTGGCCCAGATTATGGCCAGAATGGAGAATGACAGAAGGCTAAAGCCAAGCACCTCACAACCCTACTGGCAGCAGTACTAAGCGAGGGTCTTTGAGCTCTCCAAGGCCACAGAAGGCTGCACTGGCACCTCCCTCAAAGTGGTACAGCTCTTGAGGCTCAACAACCCTCAAGGCTTCAGTACTTAGAGAACAATCACCAAAAGCTGTTGACAGGGCCTGCGCTGACACCCTCAACCCTCAAAGCTTAACCCTTCAAGCGTTTACAGGTACAAAGTCATCTGACATATTTTACTAAACTTGAGGGGAATTTTTAACCTTTTTATATACATCTTTATGTCTATTTATGTGCATGTATGAATTGATTTAAATATACTACATCAAGCATAGTACGAATGTTGCCATCTCTTAATTTTTCAAATAAGTTGCTACTGAGCTTATAGAAAATCTTACTGAATACTTTTGTAAATATTGTCACAGAATCACAGAACGGTTAAGATTGGAAGGAATCACAGCAGGTCAGCTACTCCAGCCTCCCTGCTCAAACAGGATTGCCCCAGAGTACATGGCACAGGATTACATCCAGACTGTTCTTGAGTTTCTCCAGTGCATGAGACTCCACAATCTCTCTGAGCAACCTGTTCCAGTGTGCAATCACCTGCACTGTAGAGGACATGTAAAAACATCTTCCTCATATCTAAGTAGAACTTCCTGTGCATCAGTTTCTGTCTATTGCCTCTTGCCCTAATGCCTGGCACCACCAAGAAGAGCTTGGATCCATCTTCCAGGCACCCTCCCTTCATAAGGTCCCCACTCAGTCACCTCTTCTCAACACCAAACAGGAGCAGCTTGCTTGGCCTTTCCTTGTAAGACAGATGCTCCAGTCCTTTAATCATCTTTGTCACGTCCTCTAGACTTGCTCCCGGAGCACCATGCCTCTCTTGTCCTGAACACAGCATTCTATATGTAGCCTCACCAGGGCTGAGTAGAGAGGCAGGATCAACTCCGTCAACCTGCTGTCAGTGCTCTTCCTAATGCACCCCAGTGAATCATTTGGCCTTCTTGGCCACCAGGACACACTCTGGCTCCTGGACAGCATGTTGTCCCCCAAGATACAGACAGTATCAGTTCAGTGATACTGAACCATCAGACAGTGGGTCAGTTCCCAGCCTCTGCTAGTGCCCAGGTTATTCTTCCCTACATACAGAACCCTGCATTCACCTTTGCTGAATTTCACAGCTCTTCTCTGCCGATCTCTCCACTCTCTCAAGGTCCTTCTGAAGGGCAGCAGGGCCCTCTGGGGTATCAGCCACTGCTCCCAGCTCTGTGTCATCAGTGAACTCACTGAGAAAACATTTGTGCGTTTGTTGAAGTTATTGGTGGAGAAGTTAAACAATACTGGACCAGTATTGAACTTTGTGGACACCACCAGTGACAGGCCTCCAGCCAGACCCTGCAATACTGATTACAGCCTCCTGGGATCTCCCATTCAGCTGGTTCTTAATCCACCTCACTGTCCACTCATCTAATCCACATTTCCAAAATTTGCCTATGAGGTGTTGTAAAACACAGTGTCAAAAGCCTTGCTGAAGTCAAGGCAGACAATATCCACTGCTTTTCCCTCATCCATTCATCTAGTTGTTTCATTACAGAAGAGAAGCAGGTCAGTCAAGTATAATTTACCTTTAATGAATCCATGCTGACAACTCCTGTTCACTTTCTTGTCCTCCATGTGGATAAGAATGGCCTCCAGAATCATCCTTCCAAGACTTGATATGAGGCTGACTGTCTGGTAGCTTCCTGGGTCCTTCTTTCAATTTTTATGCCCCGTGTAATGTTTGCTTCCTTCCAGTCCTCAGGCACTTCTGCTGATCACCACAGCATTTCAAAGATGGCTGTAAATTGCCCACCTTGGTGCCTATCAGCTCTCCAAGCACTTGTGGGTCCATCCCATCAGGGCCCATGGACTTGTGGATGCCAGGTTTGCCTGACTCCAGCTTGGTCCTCCTTGGGCAGGGGAAAGTCTCCACTCAAGCCTTCCTTGTCCCCAGTCTCCTGGGTCAGAGATCCCTGAGGGCTGGTCTTGTCAGTGATGAGCAATGCAAAGGCAGCATTCACTAACTCTGCCTCCTCTGGGTCCTCTGTTAACAGGGTCCCACTTCCATTTTAGTATCAGGCCCATATTATCCTTTTTCCTTTTGTTAGAAATGTATTTGAAAAATCCTTTCTTGCTGTCCTTGACATTCTTTGCCAAACTTAATTCCAGGTGAACCTTGGCTTCCCTTGTCTCTTTTCTACATACTCTGACAATCTTCTCTATATTATTTCCAAGTAACCTGCACCTGCTTCCAGTTCCTGCTTACCCTTGATAATGAAGGGAGTTCTTTATTTATCCATCAGATCTCTTCCCCTTTGCCTAATTTCTTGCACATTTGGAAGCATTGTTCCTGAGCCTGAAGGAAGCGATCCTTGAATATCAACTAACTCTCTTGGACCCCTCAGGGTCTCTTGGACACTGCAGGGCTTGTTCTCATGGCAGAAGCTCAGGTTAGCTCTCCCAAAGTCTCTGGTTGTGGCTACTTGCTTCCCTGCTTTCTCCTCATCTGGAGCTGAGTTCCACACTCTCACTCCAGCAAGGCCTTCTCTGTTTGTTAGTATCAGTTGAGCGGCGCACCATTGCCTGGGGGATCCTCCACTACCTGTGTCAGGAAGTTGCCATCCGTGCTTTCCAGGAACCTCCTGGGCTGTTTGTGTTTCACTGTGCTGGTTCTGCAGCATATGTCAGGGGAGTAAAGACCCCCAAAAGAACCAGGGCCTGTGACTTTGAGGCTGCTTCAGATGCCTGCAGATGGCCTCATTTGCTTCCTCCTCCTGATCTGGCAGCAAACACCCTTACTAGTCTGCTGTTTTATCCTGATCCATAAGCCCATCATCCTCATCAAGACAGAGCTCAACACTGTCAGGGCTGTCTCTCCTGAACAGGGTGTAGCCCTTCATGCCAACACTCCAGTCACATGAACTATCCCACCATGTCTCTGTCACCGCAATAAGATCAAAGCCCTGTGACTGCATGCAGGTCCTTGGCTCATCTTGTTTGTTCCCCATACTGTGCGCACTGGTGCACATGCACCTTACAGAAGTATTTGATTGTGTCAGCATTCCAGGAGTCAATGATTAAATGCTGCTACGTTCTTCAGACAAATTGTTAATCAAGTCTAAGGCTACATTTTGCAAGGGATACACTTTTGTGACCCAAAGGGAGGACCTCCCTTACCCCTTCTGCAGCCTTATCCTTTTCCATCCTTACCCTTTTTGCATTCCCATTCTCTGTATAAATCATTGTAGATTCACTCTAACCCAATTTTTCTTTGGGTGCTTCAACTATGTAATAATCAATAGCGAACTCTGCCATCAAACTTTGCGGCACGTCAACAAATTTATACAAAAACTTGATTTTGACAATATTTTGCCAGTGATTTACATAATCTAAACCACGCATTTGCAACCATTCCTACAAAGGCAGGTCCCAGACAGTGATATTAAGTTATTGTTTCTAATCTAATGACTGAACAGTAACTTCTGCCAAGTGAAGGACTTAACATTCCCAAGGAGGCCAAATTTTTTTCTATCAATCCACCTGCCACTTATTCAAGAGTCAAAAATTAGAAACAACCCTCCCAAAAGAAATGGGATGGGCAAAGTCAGAGCCAAGGTACATTTGTTCCAAAATAGCTCGTGCTCATTACCAATGTAGAATGCAGCTTCTACACTGTATTAATTCAGTCTATGGCAGTTTCTCCATTATTGTTTACACTGACTACAGAGCCAGATACAGCTAGTTCTGACAATTAGACACAGATCCTTTAAAATCCCATCCATTTTTAAATGTTGCACAAATACTAAAGCTGACATGTACATGCAAATATCACAACTCTGTGTATTGTACAAAAACGTTTCGAAAAGATTTTTTCTTCTGAGTTTGAGCCTGGCTTTGACTAAGTGTTAGTTAGCATTTTGGGATACAGACAATTTCCTCCATTACCTGTGTGGTACATATTTGCAGGACTCAATAATTTGTTATGCAAATTATTGCACAGGGTTTGTACTTTGGTTTTTGGGGTTTGGTTTTTTTTTCCCAGAAGAATGGAGCAAAGCCTTACTACCCTGAAGTAAGACCATCTTGAAAATTAGGCCATCTAGAAATCCTTCACTCATTTTAGCTCTAGTTCAATAAAGCACACAGCTTTAGCCCTCCTGCCCCTTCAAGGTGCCCTAGCAACTCAGCCTTTCTTCATTAAAGAATTCAGCCTTAAAATAGGTACATGTACTCCCCTATTTTTCATGAGTACCAAGAATATAAAAATTAAATCCTTTTCCAGCTCTTCCAGATTTTCCATTCTGCCAATTACTCTCTAAATAAAGCCCCCATAAACAATGTCTTTCAAAGGCAAGAGTTAAAATCCTTACTGGCCTTCTACAATTAAGCTTCAGAAAGAACTGCATATGGATTTCTAATGACAATGCTAGTCAGTCACTCCATTGCCCCCTCTTGCAGAGCCACTGCAATTAAGGCACTGTTCCACTTATTACTAGTCTATTAGGTCTGACATCTTTCCATCAACAAATGTGCATTAAAAAAATCTCTGCTGATTCCAACAATCATGCAACCTAATTAATATCTTTTTGAAGGCTTAGTAAAAGGATTTTAGCAAAACTCAAATCTTTAGATTTTCTAGGTTTAAACTTTACACAATGGCAAGCACTTTCCCAAATGTCCCTGAACCCCTTTCAACAGTAACTGCAACTCCAGCAGATTTGTGGGTGATCCCAACACCTAAAGCCTTTAAACAGAGAATTGTCTCCAGTACTCTCAGGGTGCCCTGGTCTGGGTGACCCTTCCTGGCTCCCACAGCATAGTACCTACTGGTAAAAACACAGATGGTGAAATAATCCCATAAAGAGAAGATCTAAAAACAGGAAAATAAATTCTCCCTTGAGCCCTGTATTCAACAAGTAGATGGTGCAAAAAGATGTGAGACTTAAAGATTGCCTGTTCAGAGTAATCTATTCTTGCTTTTTTAGATTTTTAGTTTCACTAAAAATCATAAATTCACTAAAATCTTAAATTCATTAAAAATTTTAGTTTCACCAAAAACCTAGGCAAAGAAACATAAACAACTAGTACATTAAACCTAAACAAGCACTGTGAACTTTGCAGCATGTTTTTATATCCCCTCTGTGTTCAACACTAAATCAAACTGACCTAACAAAAAAACCAAAAAGACCAAACAAACAAAAAATCACCCCAAATCAAAAGTGTGTTTGGTTCGAAAACCAAACACCCTAAAAAAGTCCATCCCAAAACAAAAAACAAACTAACCCCCAAAAAATACAAAAGAAAGAAAATTAAGAAAAAACCTTATCTTTCAAAATTCAGGCTAGTATTGTAGGACCACATGTATCATAGATAAATTCAAGTATGTATTATGAGAACTACATAACAAAACCCATCATACTGCCCATGATGGAGGGAGAGGGGAATTCACTAAATAACGACTAAGCACCGCAGCGAAAAAGTAGCACAACAGCCAAAAACTAGCAAACTAGAACTTTCCATAGTGAGCTGTTATAGTGAAGGACAAATAGTCTGTACACTGCCCAGCATTTTTCAGTCTCTCTTGGACAGAAGTCATCCACACATAAGGGAGTCTTCCAGCAGCACCAGCAGCACCATAGCAAGCCACAGCTAACAACCTCACTCACTCAGATTCTGATCTTCAAAGACACTGAAACCTGACAGCCTATTTGTAATTCAAAGCCTTGTCCAACACTGCTGCCTCCTGAAACATTTTCCCTGTTGTCTTAAGATACTCACTGTCTTTTACAGAATTTGACTCATCATATTCAAATGGCTGCCATACACTAAAGCAGAAAGTTACTTGCTTTAGGCCTTTCCAGCTCTCTTCATTTTGTAAATTCTCTGACATCTAACTCTGTGCAAAACATATTATATGGACAAACTGCCTCACTATTTTAATCTATCAAGTGCTAAACAGTTTCCAAAGGGGAAAAAAAACCCTATTGTTGCTGATAGAAATATGTGGAAACTGGATTTTTGATGTGTCTGGACATAAGACTACCAGAAAGATGTTTTCCAAGACATGTACACAAACAAATGTACCAAATGATTTTTGCAGTTCACTCCTGAAATAAAAATAACTTCATGACATACATTAGTGCAGAAACAGACAGATGTTTCCGTCACTAGCTGTGACTACATTCTCCACACAGGCCAGAGTTTCAAATACAGGGGGTCTAGATTGTACTCAGCAACCCTGGAACAACATTTTGGCATTGGCCTCTCCGTGAGACAAGAAGCCTGGGCCAGAAAAGTCCTTTAGCAACACAGTTTATATGCTGAATAAACATAGACAAAATATTAATGGAAAAAGGGGCCAACTGGTAATTCAAACAGATAAAAGATTTGCAACAGGGAAAGAGAAAAATAAAATGGGCACAGATGAACAATCTAACACAGGTATTGGATGTGATTTATGAAGTTCAGGGGCTTTTTTTATATTTAACTGCATTCCCTAAAATAGAATCTCAATAATGGCAGTTTAAACACTTTGTGAAGTCACATACCTTATTACAGTTCAGAGTAACTACTTGTTTTTTTAAATAATGAGCAAAATTTGTAGATGACTGCCTCCTAAAGGCCAAACATGTTTTATCAATGCTAAAACATAGTTATTTAAACATCTGTGGAGATAGAAAACAAAGCAGCTGGAAGGTTCTTTATTAAATTGGAAATTCATGTTTGCCAAATCATTTGTAACACTGAAAGCTGCTTTTCCACTGAAATTCTTGCCACAAATGAAAATCATTTTAATAAAGAAAAAAATGTATTCTGAATAGAACTGTGATGCACTTAGGATTCCTAAGTAAACAACATCCTAGCTCCCTTCCAACAACCCATTAATACAATTCTTCATACAACCAGCAATTCTCAGCACATTTATCTTTGTCATCATCATCATTACAAAGCGGTCAATGTGGAGGCTTGACAAGTTTTTTTCCCCTTCTGCCACTCCTATGTTCTTCCACTCATAATGTCCCATTCCAACCACTGGTTTAGAAGCATGGACTATGGCACCCATCCATATTATTTAGAAGAGCAACAGCCCATGTGAAGCTAATTGAATTCTGTTGCAGACAAAAAGCAACAGAAGAAGAATTTGCCGCTCCCATGATTCATAACAACACATATCAGACATTGGAAATAGCATGCCCCAGTAAGTCATTACACTGTTAAAGGAATGATACAAAATCACTCTTTACCTGGATGAAAAAGACACTGGCAGCATCAGATCATTTCTCCGCTTGGATCTGAGCCTGTCTGAGGGTGCCACCAAACCACCTATCCTTTTACCTATTTTATCATCTCCTTCCCTTACATCTCTATACAAATATAGAAAACATATTGGCCACTTACTCTGTAGACCTCCTCAAGCAGCAGCTTAGCACAATTCTGGCCCAGTTCCTCAGGAAGCACAGCTGTTCCCTGGCCCTGAGGATTTGAGGCTAGCTCAGCACTGAGAATAGTGCCATTGATGGTTTCTGCAGTAAGGCATATGCCAAAACCTGGTGATCTGAAAGAAAGGGAAAAAGTGCATTTGATTTAAGGACAAAATTGGAGTAATGTGCCAAGAACTTCAAGTCATAAATGGCTCCTCCCATATGATGACAAACGTCCTGTTTGATGCAATAGATTGACGCTGGAAAAAGAAAATTAACAACTGTACTTAAACCCAGTACCAGTTGCCACAAAACCCTTTATGTTGGTTTTTCCTGGGCTAAACTCTTTAAACATGAAAATGAAAAAGAAAATTAAGAGCCATACAAATCTTAGAAATGTCTGGGGTTTTTTTAATAGAGGAGGGTACCTTTCAGATGTATTTAATTTGTGCTTGATAAATATTTCAAAGGTATCTGGTGTTTCTTCTCTGCAACATTCAAAACCAAAACTACCCTTCTTTAAGGCTTCAGCTCTTTCCCCTGAAAGCTGCAATATTTAGCAAAATTAGACTAACTAGTTAGTATCAAGGATACTGCTATCTTACTGGATTCATATTTAAGGTGAATGTCACAGTAGCAGAAGAAACCCAGCCAGCCAGGTTGAAAGTGATTCAGTTCCTCTTGCCATGCTATTATTTACCTCTCTGCATGAGCTGCAGGCAGTAAAAATAATGTTGCTGCCCCAAATAATTTGACTTTTTAAATTTCATAAACAGAGGAAAAACAAAGTTGAGACCCCAAAACTACACAGCTCCCAGAAATGTTTTTGCAATTCTGATCCTGTAAGCAGTTTGGAGCCATTAAAGTTACAATCCTGGCATATTAAATATGATGAAGGATTGGAAAAGACAAAAAATACTAAAAGTTTCTTCAACAATTTCTAGGTTCATAAACTTTTTAATCTAACAAATTTGACAAAATATTTCAAAAAGCAGAAATAGTGAAAGAAAACATGCATGCCTGCATTTGAGCATACAGACAGAAAACTGTCAAATGAGTTATCCAGAATCTTTCAACCCCAAGGAAGAAGACATCAGAGATGACAGACACCAGCAAAATTGTCTGAATCGCATCCACTGCTTCTGTGCTCTGTCACTAAACAAAATCTGTAGAAGTACAATAAATTAATTTTCCAGTCCTCGCTAGTGAGAGGACACTCCTTCAGCCATTCAGCAGAAGACAACCCATATTGCTTTAACATTTCCTTAAGACACCTCATTCCCATCCTTAACATTATCATTTCCATCAGAAGGTGTACAGTCAACTTTGAATCTTGCTTTCCTGAACATATCATGACACCTTGATCTTAATCTCTTTTCAAAGCAACAGACTTAAAAATGAAGGGAGCTAAAATTTAGTGGCAGCAGTGATGTATTTAATTCCTTGCTTAAGAAAACACATCTATCCCTGTTACATATCTAGTGAAACACCCATTCTTTCTTTGTGTGAAATATTTATTTCAAATCAACAAAATGGAAGGCTGTGATCTAAAAACAGTAAAATTAGATCAGGACAGCCTAGCAAATGAACAAATCAGAATAACATGTCTGTTTCCTGTAAATTCTACATACTCACTTTCCAGAGTTAACCCCCTTCATATGGTCTGTGTAGATATAGATGTCTGGGAGGAATTTATTCAGGATGCCCCTTGCAGATTCCACCATTCTGTTTGCCATCTGTGGTGACACTCGGACAGAGTATCTACATTTCTGAGCTAAGAAATCCATTGTAATCACAAGAAAAAATTGAAAGCAGAGACTGACAAAAGTGAAGAGGCACTAGTGCATTATTTCAGAAAACATGTGCTTTATACAGCTATTTATGAGCTTTTGCCTATGTTCCTGTACCTAGAGAACCACATGCATGTATTCTTTCCACAGTCTTTTCACTGATATACCTTGAAGTGAAGTACACCTAACATATGCTGAAAATATATCTTGAAAATGCCCTTCATAAAATTTAAATAGCTGTTCTGTCATCTTGTACTTTCTGGAGGAAGGTAGGAAGGAAGGAGGAAAGGAGGAAGGAGAAAGTACGAAGTAGGAGGAAGTCCCACGTGCTCTGTTCTTCATAGTTTATTAAAACACGATCCTGAGTGAAGTTTCTGTGAATTAGCAGCAAAAAAATCCTGGGAAGATGCATAAGAAATTTAAGACAAATGTTCTAACAAAAAAAAAAAATTAAAAGGCTTTAAGAAAAATACCTTTGCTATCTCCAACTATTTGCAGTGTTTTGAGGCTATCAAATTCATTGGTTGTCTAGTCATCCATCACCTGAAAGTTCCAGGAAAGAACCTACCACCTTACCACCCACCCCGACCCACCTCCTCACAGTCCATAAGAGATGAACAGCCTTTCTGATCTTGTACTCAGGTGCTGCTTCAGAGGAACTCCCAAAGATCTTCAAACGTAGAAAGCACATTATGCTTTAAATTCCAGCCCAACTATAATGCAGACTCACCCTCTACCCATCTGCACATACATTCACACAGCAATGCAGAGAAATACACTCCCAAAACTCCTAGTTAGCAGGAGGAATTTTCTTTTCTACAAATTTCTATAGCATCTTCTGTGAAGTAGGCAAACTCAAAACTTTGGGATCTTAGAGCAAATTCACTAAAGAATACTCAGAAAACTGTTTGCTCTGCACAGTTGATGCACTTAGTATTTTGGATTATATAAAAGGCTGCTGTAATACAATCTCCACAGCTGTGAGGAAGATTTACTCAGACAAATCTTGGAGGAACAAAAGCACATATAAAAAAGACATAAGGACTTATCCTTCCAGATGTTTTGTATTCTATTGCCTTGAAGGACCACCTAATAGCTAAACTGAGTCTGCCCCTCATCACGCTTAAAGGCAAACCTATACCCCTGAGAAAAGGCGCAGGAAAGCCTACACCAAGTTCAGAAGTTCAGAATTCAACCGAGTATATCAATCAAAACCTGAGCAAAGGCCCAGGAAAGCTTATAGCAAGGTAGAAGTTCAGAATTCAATCAGATATATCAAAGTGGTCCAGAATGGTGCTGCATATTAATGTCAATTTAGAACAATGGCAGTAAAGTCATGATCATTGCTTCCTCCTCCACACAGAAACATGTCTACTTACTACAGAGCAGAATGGAGGCATAAGAAAATGACTTCCTCCACCAATATACCACAGCACCTATCACCAAAAGCACAATGAGCTGCCTCCTTTCTGTTCTACAGCACATGTATCCAGTAAAACAGCTCTTGCTTGGCACTACTGCACCTATCTAAATGCTGCAATTGGACAAGGTAGTCAAAACATCCAGTTTATACACACAGTTGTGATGGGATGCCATAAACTAAAAGAGGAAATAGGCTGCAAATCTACACCTCTGGCAGAAAACGTGACCTCCTTCCTGCTTTGTTTTTGAGTAATCAATGCCAAATCTTTATACAGTTTCATGTAAGGGATTTCTACCTTCTTTCTACAATGACTGCAGATTCATGACAGATACCATACAAAGGCCACAAGAGAAAAAGAAAGTAAAAAATAAATAATTCAAAACATTGGCTAGATTTGCAGTTGTTTGAAAAAGTAAGGAGTTCACAAGAGTATTTTGTGCCCTTATCTCCAGGTGGAATAAAACCTCCTCCACTTCCACCTGCACTGGTACCCCCAAAGGAAAAGAGCCAAAGAATTTTCTTTCAAAACACACCAAAAAGCTCAGTGTGTGCTGCAAGGTGTAAACTCAACTAAGATTTAACTATCACACTAAACTATCACCCCATCTAACTTCTGCTAGACTAGTAACTGCCTATTCAATGCACAACTGAACTACATTGGTTACTACTGAATTTACACACAAAGTAAGATTACTTTAAGTGCTCCTACATTATGGGATGGAAGGTATTTTAACTTTTTCTTGCTATTGGAAAGATTTTAAACAGTGCCATTCAGCTTTGAATTTATTCAATACCCTACAGATACTTTTTGAATAGCAATGTTTTGAACACAGGAGTTTAGAGGCACAGCCTTGAATATGACCCCTCCATGTAATGTTGGCCTGTGTTACCTAGATACATGCTCAGAAAGGTGGGTGCACTTCTATGACTTCTAAATTAGTTCTTTTTAATAAGCAAACCCATTTAAAAGTAGAAAAATAGGCAGACAAGCAAAAAGGATACGCAGTTCCTCTGATGCGCTTGATTTTTCCAGGGTCTGTGAACTGAACAGGCTGCAAGACCTTTCTCACTGGGCAAGAAAACAGTATCTCTCCACCCCCTTTGGGAGGCATTCCTCTTCGGTTGATCTAGAACAAATTATGGAGGAAAAAAAACAGGTTAGTGAACAGTACAAAGAATGTACCTATACACCCCAGAATTACACTTTTGTTTCTCAGAGAATAAAATGTTTTAAGTATTGGGGCATTTTGTAAATGCAGGGAAGAAAACCACATCCTAAAAGCAGAAATGGATTTCGCATCAAAACTAAAAACAGGCATTGATTTCTTTGTTCCTCTCAAGTAAAGTGAAGCATGGCTTCTCAATAGGAAACAGCGCAAAACCAAACAAAAACATCTTTACTAAAACAACCTTGGCTTAAGACTTGTCTCTAGTAGCAGATTGCCCCTTGTTGCTGAGGAGACAAAAACTATTTGATTTGAGCTCAGTTGATTACAGCATGGTGCTGATAATGCCAAGGTTGTGGCTTTGATTCCCATATGGAACATTCACTTAAGATTTGGACTTGATAATCCTTATAGGTCCTTTCCAACTCAGAATATTCTGTATGTGAGGGACGAGAATGAACTCATTCCCACTAACAAGTCTGTCCAGCCTGACCCAGTCCCACCATTCCAAGCCAAGGATGGAGCTGGGACATGGTCTGGTGAGTGGGTCTGGGTAGGGAGGCCCACAGCCAGACAGGGCAGGGCTGTGGCCAGATGAAGGCCAGCCCTGCTGCAGGGTCACAGAAGCAGAGGTGACAGTGCCAGGACAGTGACATGGGCACTTGGGCTGTGGGCAGGGTGGGGGTTAGGGGTGAATCTTTGCAGAGAAAGGCACCAGCAGGCCCCAGTAGTGCAGCCAGATCCCTCACACATTTCTCCCACCTAAAAGAACCCAAATGTTGTTTTGTATCCAGATTTACTGGGCCTCTGAAGACTGTAGTCTTCAAGAAAAATTTCATTCCTCTATTTTCCAAATTGGAGACAAACCTCAACGACCCAAACACAGATTCACCTCTCCTACAGGTGAAACAGGTTAATGATATAATTTTTAATTCTTATCCCTCAGCATGGGACAGAATGAACAAGTAGAAATGAAAAGATAATAAATGAACTGAAAGGCAACAAAAAGCAAAAAGGTTTCTAACTCTTCTTTGGAGACTCAGGAAAGTCACTACTTTCTCCTTACCCTCTCTATCACTGTGTGGCTCGTAGCCACAATGAATTATCTGTTAGAGACAGAAACCTGCAGCAAGAACATGGCCCCAGGCTTTTATGAAATTATGCAGGAGCATAATTTCAACACATGCTTGAAAAGAAAGGAAAAAGCTGTCTTACCTTGATTTCCAGACTTTCACCATCAATTCCAAACTTCTTCAAAAGGGGTAGAGCTGTTGCCTTAAGGACATCAACCTATGTGGAACACAGAATTTTAAGAACAGACTTTCTATTGGAAGTTAGGTTAGTCAGTAATTTAAACAATCACCGAATTATGAGGTGACTAACAGAGACAAGTCTTCTTCATAGAAGGTATTTTATGGGAAAACATGCGAATGCAGCACAGAGAGCTTAATCTAGTTAACCTACCACAATACATCATTACTAAAAAAAAAAAATCCTAGAACAAATTACTGGCAGATAGAATTTCCTATTCTGGCTTTCTTCCTCAGCCTGATTTTGAATGCCATTATGTAAAACACAGTACTTATTTCTCTGAACAGTGAAATATTTCTCTGAACATTCCTACGTTATTGAGTAAATAATATTCTTCTGTCATTACTAAAAAATTCCTATAGCTAAACAAATTAATGCAAGGACCGCTGCATTTTTTCAATCATCACTGCAAGAGCATCCCCTTGATTTGGCAGAAAGATCATTCTACCAACAACTTCTTTTTACCTGTTTCTAAGAAACAGAAGTTTATAGGTAGCTTCTATTCAAGCACTTAAAAGAATCTGAAGCGGGTAACACATCATCAGTGTATTCCCTTTCAAGCCAGGTGCTCACCAGGTCCAGGTCTGAACAGAATTATCCTTGCCATTGCTTCTCCTAATTCCTAAGACTACAGGGACTGCCCTCTTCTTCCCTCTTCCGAAACTTCAGCAGTGTTGCCAAACATGATATCAATTATTTAGCAGTGCAACAGCACAGGGAGTTACCCAAGACAAATAGCTGTGGAGAGACAGGATCAGGACAGCATGACCAAAGAAAAGATAAACACAGATGAAGGAAACAGTCATGAGGTAGACAGCAGTTGAGAAGGCAGATAAAAAGCACCCTCTTTCCCACACCTTCAGCCAAAATTCATAATTCTTGAATTTCATTTTCTCTGCTTTGAAGAGAGCACAAGCCACTGACAAAATTGCAGCACATACCTCACCTAGAAATCTGTGAACATTTTGTTAGTGGTACCTGAGGAGCTATGAGTGTATGTTGTAGTTCTCGTTTTCAAATCCAGCTGGACAATATATCTCCTTTTTTACAGAAAGACATTTGGTGTTGTTTTTAGTATCAATATTTGAATGTCTACATTAAACTAAACAAAACTGCAAGCCAATGCTTAATTTCTTTTATCTTAAAAAGTTTACTGTTTTTTAAAGTCAAGGTACCTTGCTTTGGCCCTTCAATAGTATTCATTAACTATACAAATTTGACTTTTGGAATAATGCCTTTTCTAACATGCATGTGCACAAGCATGTGAATACCACTGGCAGAAATCTCAACAAGCCGATCTGGTTCAAATTAAAATTACACAATGTTTCTTCCTCCTTCTCATGAAACAAAACATACCAGTAAAAAATAAAAACTTTACTGTGCAGGTTAAGAACTCAAAAAACTTCAAGACTACTTGTAGTTTTCAGTCCTCAGAAAAATTCCAGGCATAATACTTAGAGGTACCAGACAGACAAATAATAAGACTGACTGTTCCAATTTTGCTGCCTAAACAGAGGAGGCAATCAGCAGTATTTGAAGAATGGGAAAAGGCTGTTCTGCCTCCCAGACAAGTAGGGAGTTGGGCAGGATGTGAAGCAGTTCACTGAAAATTACAAAACAGCAGCTGAACTGAGCTGCACACCCGCTTTTCTATCCTTCTGCCTATCCTCAGCTATAAACCCCATCCCTTAGCTCCCCTTGGAGGGCAGTTATTCCACTTCCAGAACAGACAGCATAACACCAAGTTGCACCTAAACAGATGCATCATACAACTGATGGTATACCTCACCACAAATGACAACATTCTAAGTCACATAAATATTGGTTATTTGCAAAGTTGTGTAAATGCAAATCACCTATCACTTCCCTTTAAATAAATCTACAGTAGTTAAGAAAAAGGTAGAAAAGTAACTTTAAGAATCCCTTATCCAGTGCAAAAATATTAAAAAAATCCAACAAAAAACCAACAAAATAGAGACTCTGCAGGACATGGATACCTGAGAAATGGAAAAGCACCAGTTGGCCTGTATATCCATTGGCACTGCACATATCATTAAGCTCAATAACATATGGTGTTATGTTTCACAAAAAAGGGCCTAGACTGGGAGAAGGGGAAAAGCAGAGTTTAACAGGGAACAAAGAACTGTAGGAGGAAAACTCAGCAGAAAAACCTGCTTGTTTTCTATAGACAACTGTTGAATTCTGATTAATTACTGCTCCTAAGCTAAAATTTCATATACTAGTCTCATGTCAGTATGACAGTCATTTTAACTCAAAGCCCCCATGGTATAGCTGTACAAAACTAACACGTGGAAACACAAACATCAAGAATGATTACTCTAAAACAGGGTACGGCAGCTATATCTAAATGTCAGAATAACAATAAATAGAGAAGGAAAGGAAATAGGAGCTATCAATTGCATGCCACCTCCATTCCCTTCAAAAAGGCACCTTACCAAGGGCATCCTCTGTATACATAATCACTACACAGAGAAACTTTAAACTGCCTTAAACCAGTCCCACATGGTTGGTCCCACAAGCTACCCAGTGTCAGATCTCACCAGCGGCAGCACAGGAAAACACATTGCAGGTGTAGGCTGCCAATGAATAGTCCAGGCTGGTATTCCAAAGGCTTATCTCATTCCTGACAAGTGAGAGCAAGTAGTATTCCTTTCACCCATTCAGGATGTATCACTCACACAGTAATACTGTGCAGTATTATCATACAATCATAGAATGTTTTGGGGTTGGAAGGGACCTTTAAGATCACCTAGTTCCACTTGCCTCTGCCATGGGCAGAAACACCTCCCACTAGACCAGGTCCCTGTCCAGCGTGGCTTTGAACACTGCCAGGGGTTGTGGCATTCACCTCTTCTCAGGCTGATTTGTTCCAGTGTTTAATGAGGCATCAAATAATAGGGATATTATTATTAATAATGTCAGCACAGTCCCACTTGGAACAAGTGCATGTTCAGTGGCCACGGTACTCTTTAGGAGTTATGTCAGTTGTCAAAGAGCTTTGCATTGGGCCCTGTTGGAGGGTTATTAATGTATGTAAACAAACACCACAGTAAACACATGCTCTTATACTCCAGGAACGCAGCCTGACCTGTGCCTCACTGAACTCAGCTAAAGTTTTCTTTGTGCAAGATGTGCTTTAGAAACTCTTCCTCTCACCTGAATCTCTTCTACTCTCCTCACAGCAGGAGATCCACAACATTCCCTTGCATGCACCTGACAAGGATGTCTATGGTGAAAACTCCAACGACATAGCAATTACATCCCACAAATACTTCTGTGTAAATGGCTGTGTAAAAGCCAAGATCTCGGTGCTGAAAGCAGACTTCACAAAGCCCAGTGGGTCAGCCTACCTGCTCACTGCCACCATGAGAGAAAGGTCACAGTCCCCTGGCTGCACACATATTCCTGCTACTTGCCTCCCACTGAAAAACTGGCTACAGTTCTTCAAAAACCGCTCCAGTGCAGATTCCCCATGGGTTCACAAGTCCTGCCAGCAAACCTGCTCCAGCATAGGCTCCTCTCTCCACAGGCCTGCAGGTCCTGCCAGGATTCTGCTCCAGTGCAGGCTTCCCATGGGTTCATAGCCACATTCAGGCATCCACCTGCTCCACCTGCAGCGTGGGGCCCTGCACTGGCTGCAGGTGGACATATGCTCTGCTGTTGGCATCTATGGGTGGCAGGAGGACAGCTGCCTCACCATGGTCTTCATTATGGGCTACAGGGGAATCTCTGCTCCAGTGCATACAACTCCTCCCATTTTTCACAGACCCTGCTCTCTCCGGGGCTGTTTCTCTCACGCATTCTCACTCTTCTCTCCAGTTCCAGACTATTCCACTCTTCCACCCCCTCACTTTTCCTCCTTAAAGCTGTTACCCCAGCAGGGCTACCACCGTCACTGATGGGCTCAGACTTGGCCAGCAGTGGGCCTGTCTTGGAGCCAGCCAACGTGGCCTCTGCCAGACGAAGGTTAAACTTTGGTCAGCTTCTTACAGACGCCACGTCTGTAGCATCCCAGCTCACAAAATCCAGCCATGCAAATCCAATACAAGCTACTAGGTTGAAATAGAGAGGTTGCTACATGAAGAGCAGCAGGTAAAACACCTAAGCTTCCACACTGCAGTCACACTGGTTTGCCTTTCCACCTTTGGAAAGCAGAAAGCATACAGATAGATAAATTCAAGCACCTCTTTTTGGACAAGCATAGGTAATAACTGTTCACTGAGTTTATATACACCCTCTGTCTTCTGAAAAATAAAAACCAAAATTGATTTAAAACCAAGTTTCCATTTAAATAAGCATGCAAATAAATTAGGGTAACACTTAAATTTGTGCTTTTAGTCTCAGAAACCACCAGAGACATATGTTATACCAAACAACTTGGAGAAGTCTTCTAAGTACCTTATTGGTGTGCACCAGGATTAATGTTTACTCAGGCAAGTTAAACAGACATAAACCAGGGTGAAACCAATTTTAGGACCTGGTATTCAGTTACAACCACTTAACAGTTAGCAATTATGAGCTGAGTCACAGTAACTGAAGTTGTTACTGTGTTGTCACTAAGAACAAAAACATAGTCTCTACTATAGCACAATGAACTTAAAATGTAACTCTTTACATACAAGTGATTTACATTCACCATCCAGAGCTTGGGAGTCAGCTGATGTATGCCAACCCACTTGTCTAAATTTTGGCAAGAACAAGCACCCTTCAAGTACAAAATGGCCTTAATTCTTGCACCCATTTGAACAAAAATAGTTTAATCTCAGCCCCATGCAACTGATGCCCAAAAGGAGATAATTCCCAGAATCAAGACACTATTGTTTAGATGAGTGTCCAAATTTACTTGAAAGCAATATGAACATTGGACCACTCTTCATCTCCAGATTACTGCAAGAATTTCTCCACTGTGATTAAACAGTTAACAAAAAAGGACTTTTTTCATTCTTAATACTTACCAGATACAATAAGTAATTTTAATCATAATGACTGAAAGGGTAGCAAAAAATACTTACTCTTTTTTTCTTATAGTGCTGTGTACAACCCACTTTGATCATCCCTTGACTCATGGGCATGTCTCACAGAGCCACAGGTGAGAGAGTGAGATTTTTAAATGAATAGAGAAACACAGCAGAAAAGTCATAAATTCGAGCAGGACTCAGGGGCTCATGTACTATCGGCAGTTACACTTTGAATGAATACAGGTACTTGTATTCATTTAAACTGGTTACATTTTCAGATTACAACGTGTCCTTAATTTACTCAGAGAAAATCAGGCAGTGTCCAATCACCATTCAAAAAGTAAAGAGTAATGCTGTTCTCTAAAAGCACAAGTTTATGGTTGGAGTTTTTGGAGAAAAATAAATCTAGCATGTGACCACTAATCATTACTTCAGCATTCTGATCACGTCTCCCACAGCTCATTTCTGTAACAACACTGGTACAAAACAAAGGACTGCAGATCAGTAATAGAAACCAAGCATTTCATAGCCATTTCACCTACCACACCTTCTGGCATGTTTCTGAAGAACCAGAGAGTTATTACATACTTTTGCTACTGTAATTGCCTAATCACCATGTGACTCCTGTTTCTAACAGAAAGAAGGCTTGAAGCAGCAGTGGTATGACTATGTTCAGAACCCAATAGAAGAGAAAGATTCCTTCCTTTTTGCACTCATATTTTGAAGACACTTTCTTCTTTATAGAGTAAATACAAGTGTGGAGCAAGAGAAATAATCCATTGAAATTCTAAGAGAAGAGAAGAACCAAACCTGTGTTAGGGCCTCAAAATGCATTTAAAAGGAGTTTGCAGGGGAAAAGACAGAAGCCACACAGAACTGAACATCAGTTCAGTCAGGGGGATTACAAACTGAAGTTCAGAGTGTGATACACTCTAGCTTAGCTAGTGCTTCTTTGACTCAGAGAGTTTACTAATGCAGCAACAATGGATACTTCTGGATGTGAGGGATGCTAAAAATTCAACGTTTTAGACACTTCTTCCCAATCTTTTTATTTTAGCAGGAAAAAAAAATCCTTCTCCGATACCTAAACTTTATTACTTACCGAAGGATCTACTTGATCATTTGTCACTCCCCTCAAGACAATCTTCAATGGATGCTTCATGAAAGGTGCCAAGCAGAGCAGACTTTCCAAGTAGTAGCCAATACCACGGCTGGGGCTGCAGTCATGTTCCAAGGAGCCTCCGTAGAGAAGACCAGGCTGATAGTACAAGGTCGTACCTGGGGAAGGGGCCAGGGGAGCAAACCAAATGAGAGCACTGTAAAACACTGCCCATTAAACAGCACAAAATACTTTGTAACAACATATGAGGCAAATTGGAGACAGGAGACTATATGGAAGGCTAAATCACTTCCAGCACACTATTTACATGTCTGCAACTAATAAATGGGTCAACACATGAGTATCTGTCTGTCCTGCACACCATTTTCCTCCTTTCCCCTCCCCCTTAAACCAAGGATCTCTTAGGAATCTCCAAAATGCTGATATAAGCAATTAGTATTCTCCAAAGAAGCTAAACCTTCATCAGTGTATTAGGTCATTGGAACCTTGGCCTATTTGATGCTAAGTAATTTGCCTTACTTGCCAACTAAAGATCATTAAAACCCTTAAAAAAACCCAAAACCTCACACCAAGTGAGTCTGAGCTTTCACATGAAATGCTTTTCACTCTAATCAAACTCTTTTCTAAGCATGAATAAGCAAGCAGTCTGGCTAAGAAGTTCGCCTCTGTAGAGGATAAATCTTCTTTTTCTTCTACAAAAATAAATTCTGGTACAGAGGAACCTTTGCCCACTGCATACCTAACAAAATACTAATTTTACTAAATTTCTTGGGCAATAGAGCTTCCTTAGCTCCCTGTGTTATGGCAGAGCACTGACCTTCTTGCATGGGATCAAGTATTACAAAACTTGTCAACTTTGTTATTTCTGATCTTCTCAGTCAATCTTACCTGAAGACCTACCATTATCAAGACAAGACTTCCATTCTACTGCAGAAACTGATAAATCCTGGAGACCAAGCAGAAAAAAACCAGATCTCACCTGTTTGGTTTATTTCAATCCGTGAGCCATTGGTCACTTTGTCAATCAGGCGAATAAAACTTGCTTCAAAATCTAAGGAGTAGAGCACAGACAGAGTTGTAAAGTTTCTTAGAAGTTCAACACCTTACTTGTCCTTTTACCTTTTCCTGCCTTCCACAAGAGTAAGCACACTCTTCAAGTTGCGCTATAATGCCACCACTCGTGAAAAGGCAATTCTCTGTAAAAACAGAGATGTTAACGTGAGCCTCACAGGCATCTCAAATCAATTGAGATGCCTTCAGATGCAGCAGCTAGACTAGTCACACTCCTCTCCCTGGCACACAGCACATAATAAAAGTGGACATTTCTGACCACAGTGGCTTGAGGGATTGCTCTTGTCCAGGACAAAACCTTTGACAATTTACATTTTAGTCAGTACAAAGCAAAACAGACAAATCATAGCAAACAGGACCCCATATACTGAAGCTTGACAAGCTAATAACAGCTTCACATTATTCTCTGTAAAAGTGTTAGCTTAAAAGAAGGGGACACTTAGATGTGAAGTGCTGCTGCATATCTGTTCCACAAACAGAATTAGTTGTTTGTGGACTCCAAAAAATTTTCCATTTCCAGAACAGTTTTGCACATAGGGTAGAGAACCAAAAGTCATCCCACTGCCTCTTTTCTTGCTTACCGTGCTCACTATACTATAGCAGTTTGTGTGGAAATGATTCCTCAGTTTCCCTCAATTGTGTGGACTCTCACCCAGAGACAATGAAAAGGACAAGCAGATTTAACCCAAACTAAAACCAAAAGTACCAACCAACCATAACCAAAAAGGAAATAACACACACCAAAATAAACAAACAAATAAAACCCCCCAAAAACCAAAACAAAACCAAAACAGAAACACCTGAAAAAAGCCATCCCAGGAAGAATATGCTAGTATTCCAATGTTAGTAGCCCAATACAGTACAGGCTCAGTATCAAGGAAGATAGGTGAATATATGCAGAATTCAAAACCCAGTTAGTTTTAAGAGCCCACAACATCTGCTTAATTGTTTGTAGGCTGCAGAACTCGCTTAGCAATAATCCTGTGTAACTTCTTACACAGTAATCAGGTTTTTTTTCCACATGTGATTCTAGGATGTAATAGATTTTAAACCACAAAGCCACCTGCAGAATTTACAGTTTGTCAATATTTGCATAATATGATTTATGTCAGTATTGAACACAGTACTGGTTCTGCTCTCTTTCTAAACTATGACAGCTTATATGCTTACAAAGTTTTTATCACTTTATAAGCACTGGGGCATCTTCCAGTGCAAGAGTGCATGTGAGCACACATTTCACTCTTGGAGAACACCAGTTGCAGAGTTTACAAAAGCTCTAGTCATGAAAAACAAAAAGAGCTGCATGCTGAATTATCAACACAAATCAGGATTTATTGTTATTATTTTCCTGTTACATTCATAGTTTACACTTGAACCCATACTTAAAAAAGGTAAATTCAAATACTCTTAAAAAAACACGACAATAGCTACAAACTTCATCACCACCAAATGCTCCACAGTGAAAACAAATACTTTGGATCGTGGTAAATGTGAAGTCAAGCACACAAGAATGCTTTGGCAGTTTTTGAGTAGAATTTTTAGCTACACACCCAAGGCTCCTCAGGAGACAGAGAAGTATCTACCCCTGCTCTGAACTTTATAATAGGGGGTCCTTGCTCAAAAAATAACTGAACACTGCAATAATGTTTCTTCCTCAAACTCTGTCCTATTGTTTTATTACTTCAGTTATGATGGAATTCATCCTGGGATGCCAAAGGTTTTGTACGAGAAGGAGGATGGTATTCCGTAAGAAAGATTCCCTTAAACAAATCTGCAGAAATGAGAAGAAATTGTTTCACCTCTTTCACCTTTCCTGTTTCGGCAAACCCTGACAAAAATCAAAGTATAAAACGTGACCTATTCAAAGTGCATGAATGCGAGCTCCCACCAGCACAGGGAGCACACGACACTTGGGCACGGGCACACGGCAGAAACGATGGCCCGAGAGACAGGGAATTAAATTATTCTGCCATCCCGACTGCCAAGGCAGCGCCACGGGAACGAGAACCAGCTCCGGGGCTGTGGAGAGGCTCCCGCACACGCAGCGAGCGGGTCAGAGCCCCGCCGGGCGCGGAGCGAACGCCGCTGCCCCGTGGGGCGGGACGGGCGGCCCGGCAGAGCAACGCCAGCCCCGGCCCGCTCTGAAGAAAAGGCGTGACTCGCGGAAGGCAGGGCTGCCGAGCTAAGCCGAGCCGAGCCGGTGGGACGGGGATGGTACTGCCCCGTTCCCCTCTCCCCGCCCGCCGGGCAGCGAGGGAGGCTGACGGCAGGAGCCGGCGGGTGCGTGACAGCCCCCTTGCTCCGGCCTCCTTCACCGCCCCTGCTGCTCCCGCGCCTTCTCCTCCTCCTCTTCCCCCTATGCTCCGCGACCCACGTGTGACAGCTACACCCGAGATGGTGCGCGGGCGCTCAGGGGAGAGCGCATCCACGGGAAGACACCGGGACGCAGCGGGGTCCCCACTCCTCGGCGGGGCCCGCCCAGATGGAGCCCGGGCTGTCCCAGCTCCCAGTGAGGGTCTGCCCCTGCCCGGCAGCAGGTCCCGGGCACAGCCGGAGCTCCGCCGCCCCCCGACCTCCTGCCCCGCGGCCGCCGGTGCCGCCGCTCACCGCGGAGGCCGGGGTCCTCCTCCTTGGCACGGATCTTGCGGATCTTCAGCGGGCGGCCGCTGAGCGTGGCCAGCACCAGGCGCTGCCGCAGGAAGTTGCATCCCGTGTAGCTGAGGCACTGCGCCTCGCCCGCCGCGCTGCCCGCCATCCCGCTACCCACGTGGTTGGGAACAGGAAGCGCTGGGACAGCGGCGGGGGCAAAGGGCAGGGGGCGGGCAGGGCTCGCGCCGCCCCCCGCGCTTCGCGGCCGCGCTCGGCGGCGGGGCCGAGGCGGGAAGAGCCTGGCTGAGCTTGCCGCGGCACGGGTGGCAGCCTCTGCCCTTTCCTCTGCTCTCCCAGCCCGCGTGTTTTCAGTTGAAACTTAAGGAGTGTGGAAGTGTCTGGAGATGTGTCTGACCGGAGCCCGGCCCGCTGCTCCTCCGGGTGAGGTGGGCTCTCCTTCGGCGGGCGGGTAAGGACAGTCCAGAGCGGAACGTGGTGCCCGCACACGGGTACTGCCCCCACATCCAAATGAGTCAGTTTCTGGGAACATGTTCCTTAGGCAGTACTTTTCAGTAATTTATTTCCTACCTTAAGGAAAACGGCGGAGGAATGAGTCCTGCTCGCGGTCCTTGGGACAGCCTGTTTGCTTAATTATAGTGACAGTGTCCTGCTGTCCTGAAGGAGGAGACCGACTAAAGCTTTCAGTCTCTTACTTTAAGAGAAACATCGATTACAGTGGAGGTGTGACAATGTTAATTGTTAGGCTACACTTATGTGCACATGAAGTTTATTGGAATGGAATACTCTAGTTGTAAGGGATGTACAAAAATCATTTAGCCCACCTGCTTCACTTCAGGGCCAACCCAAAGGTAAAGCCCTTAAGAGCTCTGTCCAAATGCCCCTTACACATTGATAGGGCATTATCAAGCTTGACCACCCTCTCTGTAAAGAAATGCTTCCTAATGGCTCAAAGCTGGTGCAGCTTTGAGCCATTCCCACACGTTCTGTCACTGAGTCCCAGGGAGAAGAGATCAGCACCTCCCTCTCCACTTCCCCTCCTCAGGAAGCTGTGGAGAGCAAGGAGGTCGCCCCTCAGCTGCTTTTCTCCAGACCAGACAAGCCCTCAGCCCTCAGCAGCTCCTCACAGGCCACGGTGTCCAGTCCTTCCACCAGACGCCTTCTTGCCCTTCTCCAGACGCCTTCGCAGACCTTCCCATGGTTCTGAAATGGTGGAGCCCAGAGCTGCACCCAGCACTGGACAGGGGGCCCTGCCCTAATGCTGGACACAGAGGGACAGTCACCCTTTAGAGTGCCAAGGTTGGTGCACTCAGGCTGGGGTTTGCTGCAGCCAGATGGGGTTTGCTGCGCTCAGATGGGGTTTGCTGCACCCAGATGGGATTTGCTGCCCTCAGATGGGGTTTGCTGCACTCAGGCTGGGGTTTGCTACACCCAGATGGAGTTTGCTGCACCCAGATGGGGTTTGCTGCCCTCCTGGTTGCCAGGGCACACTGCTGGCTGCCATAGAGCCTGCTGCCAAGCAGCACCCCCAGAACCCTCTATGCAACCCCAGAAACGCCCCTGTCCCAGTTTAGACTTGTGTCTGGCATTTCTCTATCCCAGAATCTGGCATTTTGACTTGTCATTTTCATGTCACCAGTGTTTGCCCAGTGCTCCACTCTATCCAGATCCCTCTCTCTGTAAGGCCTCTCGTCCCTCAGGAGAATCAACAGCACCTTTCACAGTTGTACAGCAAAAGTCAGACAATTTTCCTTACAAATGATAATACTTTTTATTTTACTAAATTGTTTACCAGAGAATAAAATTCTTTTTGAAACCCATGATATGCACACTTTACAGAAACTGAAGGAACTAAGCCATCTGTTATTACCTACTTGCTGACTTTTGTGATCAACATGCATGAGGATTTTTGTTGTGTTGATACACTGACCTGCAAGCTTTGTATCACAGAAAAGCGGAATGATTTCGTTTGGAAGGGATCTTTAAAGATCATCTAGTCAACCTCATGCTATGGGCAGGGACCAGGTTGCTAAAAGCCCCACACAACCTTGCTTTCAACACTTACGGGTCCCCACTGGGCATCCACAACTTCTGTCAGCAATTTGTGCCAGTGCCTCACCACCTTCACTGTAGAAAAATTTTTCCTTATGACCAGAGTAAATCTACCCTCTTTCAGTTTAAATACTGTTAAAAACTGTCACTATTTCTTGGTAAAAATTCTCTCTGTCTCTCTGATAAGCTCCCTTAACTACTGAAAGAGAGCCGTGAGCACTCACCAAGGCTCTTTCTTCTTGGCTGATCAATCTCAGCACTTTCAGCCTTTCCTCAGGAAGAAATTATTCCAGCCCACCATAATTTTTGTGGCCCACATCTAGACTGACTGAATCAGGTCCATGTTGCAGAACCAGAGTCAGAATCACAGAGTTGATTAGGTTGGAAAATACCTTGGAGATCATCAAGTCCAACCTATGACCCAACATCACCTTGTTGCCTTTACCATGGCACTGAGTGCCACATTCAGTCTTTTCTCAGAAAAACTCAAGGACAGTGACTCCACCACCTCCCTGGGCAGCGCATTCCAATGCCCAATCAGCCTTTTGGTGAAGAAATTCCTCCTAATATCCGACCTAACTATTCCCTGGCACAGCTTAAGACTGTCGTCTTGTCTTTCCTGAACTGAGGGCTCCACAGCTGGATGCAAAAATCCAGATGGGGTCTCACATATGTGGAGTAGAAAAGGGCAATCGTGCCCCTTGAGCAGCTGAACACACTGCTCTTTATGCTCAAGTCCAATTTTTCACATACTGTATCCTAAATTTCTTCTCCACTTACTCCATTTACCACACAGACTGTGCAGATGCTGTGGATTTCCCAGACCCAGGTATTGAGGCAAAAAAATCAAACCCAGAAAAATTATACATATAAATGAAAAACCACATCTGTGTAGAAACAAAGCCTAAGAAATTTTATTAATGGAAGCATGTTGAGAAATTTGTGGAAAATGAGGATCAAAAAATGGCAGTAATTAAACAGCATTTAATCACATATGTGGTGTCCAAGATTTCTGAGATATGGGCAGAAATATCTAGAACTATTCATGGTTCATGTGCAGATGAAGTTCTCTGTATTTGTAGAAAAAGGGAGTTTTGTCATGGACAGTTTAGTGGAATCAAAGAATTGTAGCTTTCTGTGTGTAAGAAATTAGTTGCCAGTTACAGCTCTGATCTGGAATATAACAGAAAATAGGGTGGGGCTTGGGCAGTTTAAATTCTTTTCTGTTATGCGCTGAGCAGAACTAGGAGAAAACTGAGTGTAAGGTAAAGAACATACATATCTTCTCAGAGCTAATAAATCTATGTCCAAACTTCACAAAAAAATTTTATAACTTTCTTGATAAGTCAGTGGTTTGTTTTCCTGTTTACAAACATTTAAATTCAGTCAGGTCTCTGCATAACTCCTTTGAGTTTCAGAGTTTGGAGGGTATTTTGAAATTCCAGAACAAACAGTGCTAAACTCCATGATTAATGGAGAAGAAGTCTGGCACTTACTGTTTCCTATTTTCAGGGAACAATTTTGTCTTCTTTAATTTCCTTCACTCATAGGCCTTTTAGGCATAATCTCAGGGTAGTAGTTAAATAACAGTTTGCTGTGAGGTTGTGGATGTGGCATGTGATAGAGGATGAACACTCCCACTGAAATAGAGTGTCTTCTTCTGTGAAGAAAATTGTTTGAAAGGTTTTCAGGTGCTGCTGCTGGGACCACGTTTTTCACTGCAATGTCAGAACTCTGTGTCTTAGATTTGCATCAAAAAGTCTAGGCAACTGCGTCTGCTTTGAATGAGCTCTCTCTGTGGTTCCTTTCTCTTCCTTTGTGTAGTCCCCTGTGTTCCCACACATGTATTTTTAGTTCTGTCCATCCTGTCCTTCTTCTGTGACTTCTAATTACTTGCTATCATCTGTTAACAATTTGCAAGTATCTGCTTCATGTCAAGGCATGGGAAAACAAAACTGGGAGAACAAAACAGAAAACAGTCTTCCCAAAAAATTATTCCATTGGCAGTCAGAATTTTCTCATGTAACTGAGATAAGATACTTCTGTAAAAAATCACTGGCATATATATTCTGCTGGTAAAATCTAAGTATCCTTGTAATGAATGCTCTATCTGTCATAAAAATACCCATTGACATAAAGGAGGGGGTTTGTTTCCCTGGGAATGCTAGTAGGTTGCTGTGCTTCAAGGATTTCTGGAGTCAGGAAAATCATTTTTATCAACTGCCTAGAGGTGGCACAGAGACACTGAGTGGCACCTCAGAGATATATACATGTCATGATCTGGGCAGCTGTTACAATTTAACCTCAAAATGTAAAGCTATTACTGGCTTACCTTAGTACTCAGGGAAATGTTAGTTTTCATTTAATCAGTGGAGAACATGACAGTCCCCCGATAGTTTAATCACTTGAGATAAATAATACAGAAAAGGTCATTACAGAAACTTCCAAAAGAGATCTGCCTTCTGCTAATGTATGGGGGCTCCAAGAATGCAGAAAGATAACACTTTTCTCTGAATTTGTGTTAGTTTACATACCTCCCAAGACTTTTCACACAGTCTCAGAAATACAGCTATGGAACTTCTCTTTTACTTGAACTTAATTTCTTTTCCTATTTATGTTTATTTTGAGGGATTTCTAAACAATCTGTGATAAGTGCTTTTTATAGCACTTATTACAAACTCCAAATACAGCTCAAAAGAACCACTGAGACAAGAGAAATGTTTTCCAAATAATAAAAGTCTGTATTTGATTATTATCAACTTGCGACTTCAACAAAATATTGTCATTGTTCGTAACCAGACATAAGCTTTGTACTGAGTTTCCAAGGCATCAGAACAGAATCTAGTCAGATTTGCACTGTCTGAATGTTCTTTGATCTGCTTGCAGCTTTGGCTGCTTCTTTTAATTCTGAAAGCAGTTTTGACAGATTTTCAATGGGTAATTTATTTTTCTTGTATTTATTTTTTCTTTTCTTGGATGCAGGTCTGGACCTGGACGCATTTGGTTTAGCAAAAAAGACGAAGAAACTATCTAACATAAATGGAAGTTACTATATAAAAACTCAGATGTAATGTAGAGCTACAGAGTAGGAAAGAAAAAGCAAGGTCCAAAATTGTGTTAGCAAGCAAAAAAACAACTCCAAGTGAACCCTACAGGGGTGAAGAAGGAACTGTCAACAGAAGCCTGGCATTCTTCCTGGTGAGGGAGTCCAGATGCTGATGACTCACCATAACCCCACCACCCTCACCTGAGCAGGACCATGACCTTGGGGCCCAGGCAAAAAGGGGAGAGAGGTAAACACAACACCAGGAGAATGGGAAAAACTAATGTGTGTGTGGAGCAATTAATTATTTCTATAATAAGGAATAAAACTTAATAATCGTAAGTTAGTATAAACTTTCTGTAATAATTAATAATTCTTGAATGACACTGTTAAAGTTTCAAATATGTTAATAGATTTTTCTCTTTATAAATAATGTGTCTTTTAGCTTTGTCATAAATAAGGTTTTGAGTGTACACAAGCTTGTGTACATTGTGTTCATTGGGCAGGCAATGAATTTCTGTCTGAAGAATATACATTTCCTAGGAAACTTAGAGTTTTGGAACAATCCATGCTATGTATAAGTGTCAATTTGCTATACTCAGCCATCTGGGAGGAATAATTCATTAGGCTTTTTACTAAAGGTAGAAGTGACACCAGAAAAATGATAGTGTTTTACCCCTCTTTGCAATAAAACACTATTTAAATCCAAATACAGAATCACAGCTCTACATTTTGGGTCTGTAAAGACTTATGTCTTTGCTACTTTAGAGGACAGTTCAAGAGCAGCATTTCATTCTCTGTATTTCAACTTCTATCTAATTAAAAAGAAATTGCTCCTCAAGTGTTCTTGATGGTATGTATTTATTGAGGGAGAATTTTCAGCTGTGTTGTATATATATGTTAGCCTTCACTGGATAAGTATTTCATGCATTATTTTAAAAAACATTATTAATGGGGTATCTTGTTTACAAATACAGCATCACAGCCTTATCCAGGTAGGAATCCAGTTCTGTTGCCCAATCTGTGAACCAAGGCAAGGTCAGACTGGGTTACTCAGGGCTTTATCCAGTTGTGTCTTAAAAATATCAGGGAACTGAGTCTAGTTAAATTCCACTGCCTGGCTTACTGAGTCCTGCCACTCATCTTAGTAAGCAGCCTGTTCTCATGGGTGCTAGAAGGCTGCTGTAGGTACTCCTGAATCTTTCTTGTCTCCAGTTTGAACAAACATGGTTCCATCTGTCTGTGGCAGTATCTCTTCTCTATCCCCTGATCATCTTGGTCACTCTCTGCTAAACCTGCCCCAACTGATCAATGCCTGGTTTGTGCTGGAGGGCCCAGTACTGGCCACAGCACACAGATGTGGGCCAGGAAGTGCCTAATACAAAGGGATAAGTGTTTTTTTCCCTGATGTAGTGGCTACCCTGCTGTTAATATGGCTCAGCATGTTAGTGTCCACGTGCTGGATGGTGCTTAGCTGGCTGTAGGCCGGTTCTCCCCAGTCTTCTCCAGCAGAGTTTCTTCCTTTCTGGTCAGTCCCCCAGCCTGCACTGCTTCTGTTGGAAGCAGTGTCCTGGATGCAGGACTCTGTAGCTGCTCTTGCTGAATTTTGTCAGTGTCCTGCTTAGCCTCTTTCCCCATCTATTGTTGCTGAGCTCCACCTCCTGCCCCTAAGCCCATGTGCTCAGGCCATGGTTTGGTGTTCCTCACGAAACTAATGAGGGCACACTCTCTCTCTTATTCCAGAGTTATTCACAGACACTAGACAAAACAAGGAGCCAGGACAGGCCCTGGAAAAACATGCTCATTAACAGCTTTTGGGTACTAAACACTAAGCACTACACTTCTATTCCAGCCGGACTTACGCCCATCAAATTGTCCAGCAAATGAGGCACAGAAGTTATGTGAGAGACCATGTCATAGTACCGTGTCCGGACAGCTAGGGTACTATGAACCCTTCCTCATGCAAGTAACCACTTTATTTTGATACAAAAAAAAACACTTGGGAAGTAGTTACCCAACAGTACTAAAAGAATTCTGTATCAAACTCAGAAAAAAGGACTCAGATCTCCAAGGAGCATACCTGACAGAAACTCTCCTCATGGTTTAAGGCCTAAAAAGCCTCTTCAAATCATCTCTTATGTTTGAAAAAATGCTGAGTAATATGAAAGATTATTTATTAGTAAGAACATTTGGATTTGTTTGAAACAAGATTTTGATTACTAGTCAGTCACCATGAGGGTTACTTCTATACTCACTAAGCAGGAGTTAAGTTTTTAATTTATACCAGTACATTAAATGTGTGAAAAAATTATTATATATAATATATTATATAATATATATATTAATTGTGCAAGTTGTGTTACATAAACATTGACTACTCTGTTAAGATGTGAATAATTAAGTCTGAATGAAGATGATGAAATGTCATTTTCCAAACATCATAATGAGGCTGCCAAAAAAACACTTGCATGTCTGTAAATACAGAATAGCTGTATAAAGACTTGTATACAAACCAGTGAACCATTGACCCTATTTCTTCCATTATTTACTTTTCCACTTCTCAGTATGTCACAACTACTCACAAAACTACTAGAGTGAGGTTTGGACTTCAGGAAAGATAGCCAAGGAAATGGGAACAATAATTTCTTTTACTACCTATTTTCTGTAATCTAAGTACCCACTTCAGTTCTGCAAAGGCCATAGGTTAGTAAGAACCTGTGTGTGTGGGAGAAGTGCCTTTTTTTTCTTTTCCACCCCTTCCTCATGAATCTGTTATGAAGTTCAGAGAGGTTCTAAATAGTCTTTAACAAAGGGATTGTCTTAGCATTCCTGTCTGGATTTCTGAGCTGCTCAATAGGCCTGTAGAGAGGCAGAACATCAGGCTTCCTTTTTATCAGGCAGATAAATTATTGCTGCTTTTTATGCATGGTGGCATTGGAGATTAGATTTAATGATCTCTCTGACAAGTCTAGTTATTTGCTGGATACATATTTCATACAATACCTTCCATTTTCCCATATATTTGCTTTAGGAAGATTTAGCAACACATTTTGTGGACTTCTGCCATTCATAAGTCTCTGAAGTGTGGAGCTTAAAATGTACTGTTTGGCTTCTAACATTTAATGGGCCTTTGCTGCCAAATTTTGTTTAAGGCTGTGGTGCTTTGGCAGACTGGTATGTTGCCCTGGGAACACTGCTAAAGCCCCAAATGTTTAACTCTTGGTGTCCTAGTACAATCTGGAGTAGAGATACTATCATGTTCATTTTTGAAGGTTCTCATTTCTCAGGGTAATGAGACTTGTGCTCAGAGTAAGCTCTATGAGCTAAGACAGTGCCTTCCTACTTAATTGTTAAGGCAATTAATTTTATTGACTGGGGAGTTTGGGGGCTATATTCTTATCTCTTTACTGTTTCAAAATACCAAACAGTCATTTGAATATTTTCTTATGGCTTTAGTTGATTCAGTGTAAAGCTATTGAAATGAAACAATGTTTTAAACCAGGAAGTTGAATTTAATTGATATTTTGACCCTAGCTCTGCTTTCTGCTCACTTTTCCATTGTGACCTTTCTGGGACTGTGATTGAGATCCATCAGCATCTCCAGAACCTCTAGCAGAAAGACCCACTTCTCCTGCTGTGGACATGACTGTGAATGCTCAGGAAATGGGACAATCTAATGTTTTGGCCAAAATATTGTGTTCTGATGTAGCTGAGGATCACCAAATCGTTTCTGTGGGAAAGGACATCTTGGTGTTTGGAAGAACACTACTCAGAACAAGGACAACCTGCAGTTGTTCACATTCAAGTGTCATAAACAAAACTCAGGCCCAGCTCATTAAAACACAGCTGCCTGCTGCTAGACAGTGGGAGCTTATTTGTGAAAGATCAGCAAGAGCAGGGCTGCTGCATGGGGGTGAGAGCATAGCAAAGGGCACCTGGGCAGTGCAGTGACAGTGCCAGTAGCCAAGCAGTCATTAGGTGACAGCCAGGTAAGGAGCCACGTCCTAGTTCAGTTTGGGAAGTGGTGGAGTCACCATTTCTGGGGATACTTAAAAGGTGGGCTTGTGTCAATTTGGGGCATGGTTTAGGGATGGACTAGCAAAGCTGGATTACTTGTTGGGCTCGGTGACCCTTAAGGTCTTTCCCAAACCAAACGACTTTTTTATTCTCTGTATCTGAGGGGGAGCAGGAGCTGACGGCTTAGGGAGCAGCCAAAATGGGCCTGCTGGGCTGAGGGGTGCGGGGAAGCTGGTCATGGCCGGTTGAACAGTGATGCCTAAATGCGGCCTGATGCGACGCTCTAAGATTCAATTATCTTCATTTATCTTTTTATTATCGTTATTAATTTATCCCTCCCTCCCCCCGTGCACTTACATAAAGGATCTTTCCTTCCCGCCCCTGATTGACAGCCGGAGAAGCTG